CTTGCTGAACAACTTTCAATTAATTTAGAAAGTCGATTTCATTTGACTGAAGTGGTGTAATTACGCTCTGAAGTTATAAACGAAAAAGTGAAAAATTTAAAAGTTATTACCGTTAAAAAAAATATGCTTTTCTATATAAATATCATACTTAGCCTTATGAAAATTAAAATACAAGTAGATTTAACTTGCTGAACAAACTTACTTAAGCATAAAAGATAATTTGATATAACCAAAGTGGTGAGTAGTGAAATTATATTTTAAAGTAAAACATATTTATAGTAATTTTATTTAACAAAATAAACATGTATAATATAGTAATTTTATATTAAAAATAATACACTGAGTTTAATAAAAATTGAAAAGATACTATTGACAGATAATTAATAAAACATTAAAAAAAAAAATGAAATTTCATCAAAAAAAAATTTTTGTTTATGTATTTATATAAAATTATGAAATGTAGTACAAAATTAACACTCACCGTTAGTGAAAATAAAATAAAAATTAATTATAAATTCAATATATAATATTTTAAAAAGTTATATAAATATGAAAAATAAGCAACTAAAAACTCTTAGTATTTTAAAATAATACCAAAAATATGCAATTTAATTATCTTACATAATATAAAATTTTCTTAAAATTAAGCATTATAAAATTCTTACATCATAAAACTTTTCTATGTTGGCTAAGCACCTTGGTACCTTACATATATAAGCATTTTCTGGGGTCCTTGCCTATCTTTAACAATTAATTTCCCTCTAATTAAAAGTTTGTTACAAAAGTTTTTTTTTTTTGAATATTTCTTTTAACTAGGAGAATTTAAATTTTGACATTATTTTATTATAAAAATCCTAGATTTAAAATTATTTAAAAGCAACTGTATGCTAAAAATTGTAAAATCTATATGTTTTATACTTTATAATAATTTTTGATTATATTTATTATAAATAAATTAATTAATTTATTGTTAAAAATAATAACTTTTTATAATTTTAATTAATAATTTAGGCTATTTAATAATTAATTTTACATTTATTTGTTATAAAAGTATAATATAATTATTGTAAAAATCTTAATTTTTTAAAAATGTTAAAAAGTTGTAAAAGAAACACATGATAAAATGTAAAATGTGTTATATCTGATGAACTAACCAATCAATTTACAAAGACTTATTCATCTTAAAAGTTCAAATTGCCTAAAACCTAAAAAAAAAGAGAATGGGAAAAGAAAGAGGAGAAAATTAAAAAAAAATAAAAAAAGAAAAGTATTTAAAAAAATTAGTTTTTTATTTTACTTTTCAGGTATTTACATAGGATTCTGTTTACTTATAAGATAGGTTACCCCCAGGCAGGACCCCGCTTACTTATAATAAAGGTTACCGTAGAAAATTGACCCTTTACTAATAGTTTTTACCTTACTTTTTTTTTAAATTCTATTAGTTAATTAGCTAAAAAGCATAACAATGTAACATAAAATTTCCTTTTATAGTAAAATCTGCAAAGAATTTTATATATGATTTTTATCTTAGGCCTGGAGGTGACCTATCTTATAAGTAAGCGGGTTCTCCCCCAAGCTTAAGGTAAAAATTATATATAAAATTCTTTGCAGATTTTACTATAAAAGGAAATTTTATATTACATTGTTATGATTTTTTTTCTTTTTAGCTAATTAACCAATAGAATTTAAGAAAAAAGTAAAGTAAAAACTATTAGTAAAGGACTAATTTTCTATAGTGACCTTTATTAAAGTAAGTCACATTCAAAATCCTAAAAAAATATCTAAAAAGGAAAAAAATAAACAATTAATAATATTTGTTATAATAAAAAATATGCTAAAGTTTTTTTTATATCTATTTTAAGCTCAGATATTTGTAAAAATACCTGAAAAAAGAAGAAAATACAATTATAAATATTTATTAAAATAAAGAAAAAATAAAAAAAATACCTGCTAAATGCCATATTTAAAGAATTAAAAAAGTTAATAACTAAAAAAAAGTTTCAAAAATTAATTTGAAAAATAAAATACAATAATATTTATTTTTAAAATAATCAGTAGACAGGTATATTTTATTAATACAAAATGAAGGAAAAAAAGAAAGAAAATAAAGAAAAAATATGTAAAAAGAAAAAGAATGCATAAAAAAAAAAATGTACTAAATTAATCTTATTTTTTTTTTATTCTTTATTCTTTTTTATTTATTCTTTATATTTTATTTTATTTTTTATTTTATGTTTTTTACTTTATATTTCATTTTGTTTTTTATTTTATATTTTATTTTATTTTTTACTTTACATTCCATTTTGTTATTTACTTTATATTTCATTTTATTTTTTACTTTATATTCCATTTTGTTCTTTATTTTATATTCTATTTTATTTTTTATTTTATATTTTATTTTACTTTTCATTTTTCATTTTATTTTATTTTCACTTTCTATTCCATTTTGTAATTTATTATCTTATTTTGTATTTATTTTTTGTTTATTTTATATTTCATTTTTACTTTTTCTTATCCTTTTATTTTTTTTTCCTTTATTTATTTTTTTTTCTTATTTTATTTATTTTATTTTTTTTTTATTTAAGTTCAATTATAAAATCAAATAAAATTATATTAGTCATATTTTACAAAAAATTTAAATAAAAATCTATGTTTTTTTTCATATAATTATTAAAAAAAAAGTTGTTTTAATTAAGTTTTAAGTTTCTTTTTTAAAAAAACAATAATAAAATTTTTCATAAAATTAGCCAATCAAAAATTTTATTAAATTACATGATAGAAATCACCAAGTAATAATGCACCTTTATCATCTTATATAAATTTACAGATACATTTATTACATTATTTTTAATATGATGTATTGATGTATTATAAATTTTTTGTTATTTTATTTTAAATGGTATTACAGATAAAATATGTAATAGAATATTATATATACATTTATTCTTTAAATAATTATTTTAAAGAAAAATTTAAAACTTATTTATGTCAATATTTTAAATATTTAACAGTCAGTGGAAATGTCATTTCTCTTGCCGATCATTAATTAAAATAATTTTGTGTAACCATAATTGAATATATCACCACGTAGCTAAAAAAAGAAATTTTTAATACAATGCTTATACAAATTAAGTAAATTAATAGTTCATCATGTGTACTATAAATATTCGTCATCATTTCCTCTTTAGTAATATTTTTTTTTTCTTTACATATTACAAGAAAGTTCGTCTTAAAAATGAAGTTTTCCTCAAAATGCAACTTAAAGGT